TGTGACTGCTCCCTGGATGACTTCTAGCAGCCTTTTCAGAACACCCTTTCTAGAGTGATGTGTGTACTTTGTTGCCCCACTAGTAACTTGTGTTTCTCTGTTGCTCCTCCTCTCTGGTTCTCTGGCAAAAGGCTTTTGCCTTCCCTATTGCCATCTTCTTGGTGCAGAAGCTACTTCCAGGAATACCTCCATACCAGAAATTGTTCCCTCAAATCTGTTCTGTTGCAGAAGTTGGCTGCAAATAGGTCTCCAGAGGTGTAACACCGCCTCATTTGAGCTGGAAAGTTGACTCAGGCTCTGCAGAGAATTACGTTTGCTCCATTTATGTGGAATAGTTTTTATAAAGTAAAAGAGGAGTTGCATGCCAGTGACCATCTTCAGTCTATGCAAAGCACAACCTTTGGGGTGAACTTATATGTATGCTGCTCTTAACATTTGCTTCAGTCTAAATCAAGAGTCTAGCATTTTCCGTTCTACCCCTTGCTGACAAAATGCATTTGTCTTCTTATCTATTCTTCCTCTTCCAGCACCCTTTCTTCTAGCTAATGCCTTTACATGACAGCAACTCCCTCTGCCATATTGTTCCAGACAAGAGTGATTGTACCTGTTTTGGGAGGTCCTTGGGCGCTTTTAAGAATGGCAAAGAATTCCTGGAGTTAGCCCAACTGTTGGATTGATAACTGCAATTTGAATTTCAGAGGCGACTCAGGTTTCCTTAATTTTATTACCAGGTGAAAGGATAATAAACTTTATTTAGGAACTAGATAATTCATTACAGCCCAGATGTAAAATGATAGAGGTCTGCTAAGGCAACCCTTGTTGTTGTTCTGCTTTTACAATGACCATTTAAACAAACTAGCCCCAACAAATGGAACAATTTCCCTGTGTTTAGCTTTATTTAAAAAAAAAAATAATTATTTTAATTTTGGATAATATGTGATTAGGATAGGAGAATAGATTCAGGATTCAAAAAATTATTTAAATTACAGTGCAAATGTAGGATTTGGAGTGGCCTTTTAATTTTCCTCATTTCCATTTCCTGTATTTGAACCATGATTATTCCATTTGTTTTTTAAAAATGTGCTCAGAATAGAAGTTTGTTCTTGTAGTTGCAATTCTTTACTGGGATTTTATGAACAGTCTTTAATTCTAAACTTAAGAGTGAGAGTCTATCAGCTTTTGTCCTCTGCAGGCATGGGTATGCCCAGGCTCTTGGCTTTAGGCAGACACTCTTGTAGCTGTTGAGTTTTTCTGGGGTTCTGAATATGGGCTCCTTTCTGATACCAGAAAAACATTTCAGTTGGCTGCCCGAAACCACCCTTCTGAGCTGCTCTGGGTTCTCTTTCACAGTGTTCTCTCTGCTTCAGAATAGTCAAAGTGGTTTGTTTTTTTTTTTTCTTTTAGGTATTTGCTAAAGGATTGGTTTTTTTTTTTGGGGGGGGGGCATTCTATCAGTGAATAATGTGAGCTGTAACTTCAAATGACTTTTGTAAGTCACGCTTTGTTGTTACATCCAAGTGCAAGTGTTAGAATAAACTTTTCTTTATGAATACTTGAGCGAGATGCTTGGCAAGGAACTTTTGCTGAAATACGCGTTGACATTATAGCTTTAGAAGCCTGCTGGCAGAAAACTCAGTGAGATCTAGAACTTGAAATCCACGTGGCGGTAGATGCTGGGGACATCCTTCTTTGCCGTATGGGTCACCTCCTGGAGCAGGGGTGAAAAGCACCTCCCAGAGCCTCCAAACTTTACATTTCTCAATACAATTATGTGCATCCGGGTTTTGAACCTTTGGAGTTGGTGATACGGTGGTTGCCTAAAAATTCCTCAGCTCGGCTTGGGTTCCCCAGCGGGACGACAGACGAGGCAAGGCAGGGGGAGCAGCGTGGTGCCCGCCAGCGGCCGGCCGGCACGCGCCCCTCTGACCCGCCTGGGCCC